TGGCCCTTGGGGTCTCTTCCAACTCTATGATTCTATGATTCTAAGGCCTTGGTCTTTGGGCCTGTCTCACTACTAGAGAACCTTCTAGAAGGTGATGAGGTGAATTTGGGAAGAAGGGCTGGGAGAGAGCATTCAGGCCTCTAAAGAACTTTCTAGAAGATGCTGAGGTAAAGTGGGGAAGAAAGTCTGGGAGAGAGCAGCAAGCCTTCAGGCTTTGGGCCTGTCTCACTACTAGAGAAGACAGCTTCTCTAAACAATGTTAGGAGGTGCTGAGATGAAGTCAGAAAGGAGGTCTAGGAGAGAGCAGCAAGCCCTCAGCCTTTGGGGCTTTCTCACTACTAGAGAACCTGCCAGAAGGTGCTGAGGTGAAGTGGGAAAAAAGGCCTGGAGAGAGCAGCAAGGCCTAGGCTCGGGCACGCCGCCGGACGCCATTTTGTCTTCCAAAATGGCGCCAGGAGTCGTGCACATGTGCACACGATGCCGGGCGCGTGCACACGACTTCAGGCGCCATTTTGGAAGATAAAATGGCACCCGAGTTGTGCGCATGGGTGCGTGCACATATACATGTGCGCCTCCGGCCCCCCAGAGATCTGGGGGCATGCGAACCGGCCCCCCAGATCAAAAAGTTTGGGGACCCTTGACCTAGAGATTCCTAGAGAGAACACTCCATTAGGCATGTAAGCTGCCCCGATTGTTTTAACAGAGGGGCAGGGTAAAAATAAATATTATTATTATTATTATTATTATTATTATTATTATTATTATTATTATTATTATTATTATTATTTCCCGGTCCTCCAGCTCAATTCTATGGTCAATGTCTGGCAGATGCTGACCACAGAGTTGCACTGGAGGACCTAGAAATTCCCAGAGAGGTGTTCTCTCAGGTACAAATGTAGTGTTTTTGTTATTTGCGGTTTTTCCGCATTCATTGGGGTCCTATGCCCCTAACTCTAGCAGATGTGGAGGGACCAGTGTACTTTGTGCATGCTCGGAGGATCCCTTCCTTTGGGTTTGTTTTATTTTTTTTTAATGATGACTTACACTAGAAATTTTGAATGCCTGTTGCCTTGGGTCATCAAGATTATTTTCTTGAGTGATACGAATATTTTGACATGTTCAGAGTTTTGACAGCTGGGGTCTCTGGGCGGGGGGGGGGCTCCAAACATATGGAAACGCTCTCTTCACCATCTAGATATAATTTCAAGGCATTTTAGAGCAAAAAGACTGACCCCAAGGACCCCTGGGAGCCACAAAAATGGCCCTGGGGGGCCTCATGCAGCCCACAAGCCACACTATTCCTCCCCTTGACACTGATTTTAAGCAGCATGGGGACTGAACTGGACTTAGAGGGACACTTTAGACCAGTGCCCAGTTTGGTGAACAGGCCATTCAACAGCCCCACCTTCTGAGAGGGCTTAGTCCTCCAAGGAGGATGCAGTGGCATCAGTAGGGGGTTGCAGGGATGCGGACCACACCAGGTGACACCTAATATGGGGTGACACCACTGTTCCTTCAACATCTGCCTGTGGGTAGAGACGGGCTGTGGTGTTCGCCTGTCTCCCTTTAAAATGATGTAGAGTTGGGATGAGTGGGGCGAGGCTAAGGACGTTATCACACGGGGCTCAATCCAAACAGAATCCAAATGAAATCCCACCCGAATCCGGATTATTTGCCCGTGTTTCCACACGACGTCGCACAGAACCCCAACAGAAAGTGGACAGAAAGTGGAAAGAACCGAGATCTTTTGAATTTCTTTTTCTTAAGGAATTGCAATTGCACGATGAGGATCATTTCGCATTTACCGTAAGTATGATAACCAAATACGTATTGGGGAGCATTTCCCCGTCATTACCCATGGTTCCCGCGAGCATTACTCTATCTGCGCATGTGCAGGAGGCTCATTTCGGCTACATTTACGGGTTTTTTTCTCTTGTGTGTGGACGTTCGATACACTTACTGTAAATGCGCAATTAAGGTAATGACGTTTGCGGAAACAAGATTTATTTCCCGTTTATTTTCAGGATGCCTCGTTTCCACTTTATTTTCAGTTTCTGGGCCACATGTCCCAAGAGGCCCCAGTTTTTACATTCAGTAATATTCAGGAATTACAATTAATGAGTAGCACTGATACAAAAAACTTTTTCTAAGGATTCTGTCAGGTGTGATATGGGAGGAGGAGGAGGAGGAGGAGGTCAATGGGGGGGGGGACACTGATACCAAAAGTTACCACACCAGGTGACACCAAACCTAGTGATGCCACTGGTAGGACAGAAGCCAGTCAAAGAGTGGCTCCACAGCTCATCCTGGAGTGACAGCCCAGAAGGATTGCATTTGCACAGCTTCCTGCCCAGCATCCGGGGACACCCCTTTCGCTTGCCTGGTGGTGGACCACCTAGCCAAGCCCCTGCATGCACAAACACACACTCACACTCACACTGTTGCTTCTCTCTCTCTCCCATCCCAGTTCCTCAAGAGCTCTTTGCTGTGAAGACTATAGGCAACCTTTCTGAGCCAGGGGCTGGGTTGCTGTCCCTCAGACAATTGGGGGGCTGAAG